TCATGACCCCGGGTCTGGCGGCAGGGCCGGGCCTCGGTGCCCGCATCCCCGGGCTCTGCCTCCAGCGCCATCAGCCCCTGCGGCCTCGCCTGGACAGCCCGGCGGCGCCTCGCTCCCTCCCACGTGTGAGGGCCCAGCCCAGACGCCCCGGCGTGGACTCGGCCTCTCTCCGCCCCTCTGCTGGGCGCCAGGGCCAGCGTGGTCCCGAGGTGGTTGGCTGCGTCCCTGTCTGGCTGGAAGTTACAGCTCGCGTTGGCGACGCATCCTCCCGCGCTGCGTCGGGCTTTTCCTCCCGCGCCCCTGCAGGCAGTCGGGCCCGTGGATGGACCCTCTCCTGAGGGCCGACACGGCGGCGCGTTCCTGAGGTCCTCGCGGCGTCAGTCCTCGGCGGCCACGGGCCTGTGAGCTGCGCCTCCACGGAGGGCGTCTGGGCCTGTCTGCACGGCAGACTCGGCCGCCGTTTCGCGGCGTCTGCGGCTCTGGCGTCAGGGACACGCCAGCCCTACGCAGGCACGGGGAGCCCCTCGCCTCACCCCTGGATTTGAAAGCAAACACTTGTTCCCGCCGGGCTGGGGAGACCTTCCCCCAAACTCCCCTTCTTGAAGCCTCGCCGGGCCGGGCTGGGGGGCGAGAGGCTGCGGACGGGGCCTGCGGCTTCCACGGGCTCACCGTCTGCTGCGGGTTTCGGGCACTTTATAGTTTTCTATAAACTTCCCATTTCATCATAGACATTAAATTTATGGGCACAAACTTGGCTCCAAGACAGTATTATATTTTCCGACCCCATCGATAAGCTGTTTTACTCTGAACACTTGTTATTTTTCTCCTTTTTTATCCATCGCTTTCCCAAAGGTTTGACCCTTTGCGTCTCTGCTGCAGCCTCCTTGGCCTCGCACGTCTTCTCTACAACTTCCAGGATTTTACCATTTCTCCCTTAACGTTGCGGTTCCTCTTCGGGGCTGTTTTCTGTTTCGTCCCGGCGCTAGCAGCGGGTGTCGGGACTCACGCTGACTCTGCTCCGTGGCCGAGCTGGGCGTCCGCCTCAAGGCCGGCCCGGCGCTCCCTGCTCCTTGCCGCGGCTCCTCCTGCGGGGGCCCTACCCAGCGCACCTGCTTCTGTTTAGACCAGAAGTTCCCTGAATGCAGGTTTTCCGGTAGAATATTTCAGTCTGTGCTATTTTGTTTAAAATATGCTTCCGAAATACCCTCGATGCCCCCGCGATGATGACTGCTAACGCTGCCCACCCAGAGTTTATGCGCTCTCTTCCCGTGCTTCCTCCAACAGATTTATACTTTTAACTTTCAAACCCACGTCTCCAATCTCGCCAGAATTGATTTTCGAGTAAGGCGCAAAGTAGTCCTTAAGATCCTTTTTTCTCCCCTTAAAGTGGACACGCGATCGACCGAGCACCATCAGAGGCCATTAGTGTCTGGCACCCGCGTCCAGTCTGGTCCGTCTCCAGGCGTCGTGAGCAGCGGGTGGTTGTTCTCTCTGGAAGACGCCCTTCGGCGTGGGCCGCCCCCGCCCGAGAGCCTGTTTTCATATTTAAAATCACGCGTGCTCCCTGCAGGGCCCCGTCCCCAGGAAACAGGCCGTCTTGCTTCTCCCTGCTGGACCTGGAGGTCACTCAGTAATTGGTCACATCCGACAGCGCTGGCCGGCCTCAAGCTCCACCCTGAAGGGAAGAGGGAGGCAGGCGCCTCACTGGGGTCAGGCGAGAGGCACAGTGTTAGGTTGTCCCCTTGGTTGCGACATCAGCTGTGAGCTCTTCACAGACGGTCTTTATTGCGCTGAGGATACTTCCTTTTATAACTATTTTATTGAGAGACTTTATCGTGAACAGATGTTGAACTTTGTCAAACACTTTTCCTGCCTTTGCTGAAATGCTCTCGTGGCTTTTATCTTTCATTCTGTTACGAGTCGTGGTGTCTGGGCTTTTTGATGTGTTGCTGAATTCAGTTTGATCTATAGGTAGAAAACCTTTAAGACCACAAGAAAACCACTCGAATGAATAGACAAATCCAGGAGTTGCAGGATACAGAGCCAACATAGAAATATCAGCTGTATCTCTATACCAACGAGAAAAGAAAATGAGAAAATAGTCCTATTTATGCTACTGTCATAAAGAATGAAATTCTTAGGAATAAATTCACCAACATGGGGAAAGAGACACGCATTGCAGACTGTAAACACTGGTGAGTGATATTAAAGCAGATGTAATAAATGGAAAGCTAACCCATGTCCATGGAATCATATTGATAAAGTTATGCCCAAAGTGATATAGCAATTCAGTGCAAGCCTAACCCTTATCAAAATTCCAATGGCAGGATTCACAGAAATAGAAAAAACAGCTGGAATCCAGATGGGACCACAAATCTTCAAGTAACAGACCAAGTCTAAGGAGGAAGACTAGAATTAGAGTCGCCCCATTTCCTGACTTCAAATTACATTACAAAGCAACGGCAGTCAAAACAGTATGGCACGGGCAGGATAACAGGCACATAGACTGAGCGAGCACGTACAGTCAACCAGATATTAGCAGCGGTGCCAAGAATACACCGTGGAGAAAGGGTGGTCTCTTTAATAAATGATGTTGGGAAAACTGTTTATCCACAAAAGAAAGAAATCGGGCCCTTACCTTCCATCACACACAAAAACCAACTCAAACTGGGTTAGAGGCAGACATCAGACTGAAGCCACAACACTCATATGAGAAACAAGGGGGGAAGCTCCTGATGTTGCTCTTGGCAGTGAATATGTGGCTACGATGCCAGAAGTTCAGTCAACAAAAGCAGAATTACGTGAATAACCACGTACGTTCACATCAAACTAGAAAGGCTTTGCACAGCGGAGCAAGGCACCCGGGGGTTAGGAGAACATACTTACAAGCCACGTATCTGAGACGGGGTTAAAATCCAAGATGCATGAATTCATGTAACTGAACAGCAGAAAAATAAAACGATTAAAAGTGGCCAAGGGGCTTGAACGGATACGGTTTTCCTAAAAAGACACACAGCGGCCAGCAGGGTACAAGGAAGTCGGAGTCACCCCCAGGATGTGATGAGGTGCTGCTGGGCGGCGGGGCGTGGGGCCGGTCGCTGCTGAAGCCCGAGGCCGGTGGGCAGGGGCCCTGCGCGGGCAGAGGGTGGGCCCCAGGGGCCAGGGGCCTGGCCTCGGACAACTCGAGCCCAGCGGCCTCTCCTGGGGTGGAGCCGGGAAACGTGGCTGGCGGCTCAGTGACGTGTCTGCCCTGTTCACCATGGCCCCGGCGGCCTTGGCAGCAGCCTCTGGGGGAGGCCTCAGCGGTAAGCGGAGAAGCAGCTGGAATTTCCACGCACGAGATGGCTGGGTGTCGCCTGCTGCTTGAAGACCCACTTTTCAGAGAATGACGCATCTGAGAGGCTCTCGGGTCTTTACAGACATTGTCTCAGGAACCGGTGTCTTCCCGGGGCGCTGTTCAAGGGTTGGGGAGCCTCTTCAACTTTGGAGCTTTGTACATAGACAAGAGACAGTACTCGGTCTTTAGGAGGCTCCAGCCGCCTGCGGCTTCGTGGGTGAGCCCGGAGGACATAACCCCACGCAGCCCAGGGGCTCAGGGCTGCCAGCTGAGGGGTTCAGGGGTGCAGGGCTGCAGGCTGGGGAGCCGGGGGTGCGGGGCTGCAGGCTGGGGGTGGGCTGCTCTCAGCCCTGGGGCTCCAGCGCCGCCGGCCAACAGGCAGGCCACAGGATTCATCGCGTTTCCAAGTTCCCTCCTGAATTTTTAAAAACATTATGAAAGTTTAATACTCAAAGGCATTAAAAGTCCCATAAAAACACTGTCTGTCTCCCGGCCGGGGATGTCTTCCTCTCCTGGGGCAGGAGGAGAGTGATTCTCCTGTGTGAGAAGACGTGTGTGTCCCATTAGCTGGGTGAAGCCCAACAATAAAGCAAATCAAAGACCGCACACCCCGCCGGGCCCTCCCGGCCCCCCACGGGGCCTCCGCCTCGGCCGGCGGCTCCAGGCCTGCCGGGGCGCCCCTTCCAGCCAGGCGGCGGGGGTTCCTCTCCCAGCCGGCCATGAGGGCAGGCAGGCCCTCGCTGGACACTGGCCCCCAGGCCTGAAGTCGCAGGCCCCGGAAGGCAGGGGCAGGCGGAGGGGAGGTGGGCTTGAGGGGTGCATCAGCAAGGAGGGGTGTGCCGAGCTCCGCCGCCCGCAGCCCTGGCCTCATCTGCGTGTCCCGTGTGGCCGTGGAAGCCAGCGGGAATCGGCCTCGCCCGCCGGGGGGCAGCTGCCCCGGTGTCCCCAGCGCGGTGTGGACAGGGCGCGGCCAAACGCTTGCAGCTGCTCGCCCGAGCTGGTGACCCTTCACCCCGCGCTCACGGCTGCTGACCAGGCCCGCCGCGGGGTCGAGGGCGCTGGCTGCGTGGCGAGCTGGGGGTGCCGCGCGTGTGTGGGCTTGGGCACCCGTGTCGACGGAGGTGTGGCGCCCCTTCCTACCCTTTGGTGTCCCCAGAAAATGCCTGAAGCTGGTCATTTTTACACCTCTCCTATTTCTGGGCAGCCTGGCTCGTGCTTGTCAATGTTATTGATCGCTCCGAAGGACCCGTTTCCATTCTCTGTCATCTTCTGTTTCCAGATTGATCGAGGCGGCTCTTGTCTGTTTAATTCCCTTTCTTCTCCTGCTGTGGCTTTATCTGCCCTTCAGTTTCCAGGTCCTTAAAGTGACGCTCAGATGAATCATTCAAGACTTTCCTTCGCCCCTAACGTGGCGGTCGGCGCCCTGACCCCCCAGCGCCCCGGCCACTCGCCACAAGCGGGACAACACCGATGCGCTGCTCCCCCGGCGCCCGCTGCTAATTTCCCCCGACGCCGCCTCTTTAACCTGAGCAGTGTTTAAAAGTGTTTTGTTTAATTCCCCACTGTTTGGAGAGCCTCCTGTTATCTTTCCATTATTGATTTGGGACTTAATTCCATTATTATCAGCAAGCATGCCCGGGCGCTGGGCGCTCTGTCTGGGCAAATGCATGGGCCTGGGTGTGCGTCTTCCTCCCGCTGGGTGAGCCCCAGGAGGGCCCGGATCCTGGCCCCGCTCCATGCTGGCCGACTGCACCTGCTCGCCCGCCCGAGGAGGACGGGGCGCAGCCGGCTCCGACGACGCCGTGGTCGCTCCCTCTCCCGTCACCCGGGCCGTCCTGCCGCCGGCTACGGCCCGGGGGCTGCCCTGCGCGCCAGCCGCACCTGCGGGACGAGCTCCGTGCCCACCGCGACGCCCTGCTCCGGCCGCTGCCTCTGTTGGCTGTGGAGTCGCTTGTCTGGTGTTAACAGACGACCAGACTGTTTGACTCGGTGTGCGCAGGAGAACCGGCCCCCGCGGACTGGTCAGCGTGTCGTGGCGCCCGTGGGAGCTTCCCGTAGGCGCCGTCCATCCGCCGCGGCCTCGCCCGCATGGGGCCACGCGCTCCAGGTCTCCTCCTCGGCCGCTGCGCTTGCTGGGGCCGCTGGTCCGCGTGTCTCCTTCGTGTTTGCAGAGTTTTCTGTGGACGTTTTCTCGGCGTCACGCTTGCCCGCCTTGGCGCTGACGTGGGGCTCCGGCGCCTCTCCCAGGCCCCGGGTTTGCTCTCCAAGCCTCCTGCTCTGCGTCCGGCCGGCGTGTCCCTGGCAGGATCCAGCAGGCCCTCCTCGCCGCCCGCCTGCTCCCGGGAGCGTTCCAAGCCCCTGTCCCGGACCTGAGTGTCCCTGCGTCCACGTGCAGGAGCACCCCCCATGCTGCCGCCCCCTGTCGGTGGCCGCCTGGGCCAGGTGGTGCCCAGGGGTCTCCCAGGAGCCCACGCCCCGGCTTGTCAGCTCAGGGCTCATTGGCCTCCGGGGAGGAGCCGCGTCCCTCTCATGCTGGCGGCTGCAGCCCCTTCTGGCCTGCGGTCCCGGCCCGTCTGGGCGGCGAGGGTGGAGCCCGCCTCTGCCCGGCCTTTGCTGTCCAGTCTGCGTGTGTCTCGCCAGGGCAGCAGCGGCCAGTCTGGGACGGAGCCTGCCGTCTCGCTGTGAGCTTAGCCCTCAAACTGCTTGAATGCGAGGGCCATGGCACGGCCGGGGAGGCGGGAGGCGGGGTGTGAACCCCAGAACCCGCAGTCCCCAGGGTCCCCGGCGCCCGCTGCTCTGGCCAGAAGCCAGGCCCTGCCCGGCGGCGCCTCTGCCCAGGGCTCAGGCCCTGCCGGCGGGTGGCATCTGCTCCCCCAGCGGCCGGCCCCCCCGCAGGCGTCGCGCAGCGTGTTTTGATGAAATTTTCTACATTTTTCTTTGTAGCATTAAGAGCTATATCCATGTAGTCGTATCGATCTGGATTCGGAAGGCTTTTTGTTTGAACACATTTAACAGCTTCTTGTTCAGTGTGTCCCGACCCAAGTGTCTGGTAATAAGCAGAGAAAAAATAAAAAAAAATGGATTTACTTTCCTTTTAAGAAAATCGATAAATCACAAGAGATGAATTTGATAATACAAAAAAAATGAAGGTTCCTGCCTTATCATGGCCTTCCTGCGGGGACAGGCCTGGCCCGAGCTCAGGATGCACGTCCTGGGTCCTGCACGCTCTGGTCTCCCCGAAACCTTGTCCCAGGAGGACAGCGGGTGGCGGGAGAGGCGCACTGGGGAGCAAACCCGGAGATGTCCGGGTCGCTGTCCCTGGCTGTCCTGCGGCCCTCCCCGGGGCGGGCGGGCGGGCGGGTCCGGCCCTCTCCCCACCAGCAGCTCAGCCTCTACCTGGGCCGGCACGCCCCTTCTTCAGGGTCGCCCTGACTCTCCTGCTCACGGCTGCCCCCTCTTCCCTCATCTCTTCCTGCCCTTCGACACTGCCCAGTCCGCTCCACAGCCGCGGCCCCAGCCCTGCCCCAAGCTCGAGTCACTGAAGGGTCAGCCTGGCTGCTGCCCCGCCGGCAAATGGCCCACACGGCTCTCCGTCGCTACCCCCCAAAAGTGCCTCCCAGCAGGCGTGGAAAGGAAAGCAAATCCGCCCGTCCCTTAGGCTGGCGTGGAAAGGCCTGGGGTGACCATCACGTTCCTTCCTTGCACCCGCCCCCATGTCCCCCGGGCGGGCCCTGGCCCCACACCCCAGCAGCTCAGCCTCTACCCTGAGTCGGGCCTGGTTTCCAGGTCCTCTCTGGACAGAGCCACACCTTGGGGCAAGCCTAGGGTGGCTCCCATGGCCCCTGCACAGGTGGTCCCCCCCAGGGGTCGGCAGGCCCCCCAACACGGCGGGGGGTGAGCAGTAGCCGGACGTTCAGTTTCACGAGTGGGTCTGACACGAGACGGTGCTGACCTTGACGGGAAGGCCGGGCCGGTCTCCAGGGGCGTCTGCGCTGACCGCGGGGCGGGGGGCGGGTGTCCCTGTGCCGGGCCCTCGGCTGCAGCTCTGTCCACCCCCCACGTCCTCCTGCTTGACATTCACCTCTGTCCACTGCGGCTAAGTGACCCACTTCAGAGCATTCCCCACAATTTATGCATTTCAATCTCATTATTTTTTAATGATTGACTGAAGTTCAAGCCTTTTTGAGTCAAGCCTGTCTCAGCTCCCGCTGTGAGCCCCCCGCGAGGCCCGAGGGCCTTGCCTGCTCGGAGCAGCCGGCCCGCCGCCCGCCCTGCTGGGGTCCTGCCCGCCGCGGCGGCCCCGCGTCACCTCTCACGTGCCGAGGCGACGCCACTGAGCAGGCGCCCGGCCGGCCGAGCAGCTGGAGACAACAGCTACTTCATCCCAGCGGCGGCGCCGCAGAGGCCGGGTCTGGGGTCAGGGGCGCGCCCGCCAGCCCGTGATGCCAACAAGAGCTTGGCGGAGCATGCGGGGGGCAGCGGGGCGTTGCGGGCCGGCGGGTGACTCCTCCCCCCGCTGTCACTGGCCACAGTCGCTACGGGAGGACCCTACGCGCCTTTGCTGGGGACCCGCCGCTGTCCTTCCCGCACACCAGTGGCCAGAGGGAGTCGGGTGCCCGCCCAGCGCCGGCAGCCGGTGCTCCCCACTTACGGCAAGGGAGAGGCGGAGAGTTGGGGGGCCTGGGGGACGCCAGCACCCCCGCGGTGACCCAGGGCGCGGCCTTCCTGTGCCGCGGGCCAGGCAGCGGGTGTGGCCGAAGCCAGAGCGGGATGGCCCTGGGCCCGGGAGCGTGTGCGTGCACGTGTGTGTGAGTGTGTGCGTGTGTGTGCGCAGAGGTGACTGGCGCAGTGGGTGTGCCCCATAGGGTGTGTGTCCTACAGAAAGCTATTCTCTGTGATTTATAGCTTCTAAATATAAATACTGCTACGGAGGACTTTTAAGTTCATATAAATCACAATTAATAGGAATAGAGAAAAGCAAAGAAAATTTATTTTGGTCAGGAGCACGACAGCCTCGGAATAAGCAAAGCGCCAGATAGTGAACGCCGCAGGGGGAGGGGGCAGCCTCAGGGGCCCCGGGGCCTCCAGCAGCCCCGGGGAGCAGGCCAGCTGGGCGGACCTCAGGCTGATGCAGGGCAGGTGCGGGGGTGCGGTCTGCCCTCCCCCCGTGTCCCGCACCGGACCCCTTCCTGCCCGCGGGCTCCGCCCTGCGCGTCCCCTGGAGCTGCTGGGGGACCAGTGTCCTGCGAGGCGGGGGCCGGGCTCAAGCCTCCTGACCCCCGCGGGCTGACGGCGGTTCTGCGTGTCCCCTGGAGAAGCTCAGGGTTTGGAAGCTGCTGTGCAGGCATTTGTCACTGACCCTGTTTGCACATGGAGAGTGTCTCGTGCACACGCACACACGCCCACGCACGCCTGGTGACAGCTCCCAGCCCAGGGAGGGGGAGGGAGCCGGCCCCCAGGACAGCGGCCCGGGGGTCCCACCTGCCAGCCGGAGCTCACAGAGCCCTCCCTGGGCCCCTGCCGCCGCTGGCCCCAGCCGGGGTGTCTGCCGGGACCGTGCTGCCAGGGGTGCACCCCACCCGCAGTCAGGCCCAGGCCGCCTGAGGCCCACGGATTCCCAGTCAGCGTCCTCATCCCCTGCAGGGGAGCGGCTGGCCAGGGCCACCCCATTTCACCACCAGAGCAGGCCCTGTAGCCGGGGGGGAGGGGGGGGGCGCTGGGCTCCAGCATCCAAGCCAGGTGGGGGGCAGGAGGGGCAGGAGGGGCAGGAGGGGCAGGAGGGGCAGTGCCCCCGCTGCCCGCGTCCGCAGGACACACCCTCCAGGGCTGCAGGCAGCTTGAGTTTCTCTGCTTTCTTTTCTAAATTGACGCCTGGTCAGTCTCTTCCCTGTTAGCATCAGCCCCCACCCACCCCGCTCCCCAGGCTCACTGGACGCTCCGCGGCCCGCCCTGCCCCTCCGGCCACCTCCATATCTCCCTGGGTTAAGAATTGCTTTTGTGGTGATTTATGAGCTCATTTGCTTTGAGTATTTTCATCCCCGTGAGGGCCCGTTCCCGAGCGTCTTCCACTTTCTGATTTATTTCCGGGGGCGTCACCTCCAGCCCCACCCTTGGGCACAGGCTTCGCCCGGGGACAGCGGCCGTGGGGCCCAGGCCTTGGCTGCTGAGCCTTGGCCGCTGCCCCCTCCACGGCGGGGTTTCCCGGCTCTTCGGGAACCGTCGGGAGTGGGCGGCGCGGCGCCTTCCCTTCGGCTTCCGAGGCGGCTCCAACCGGCAAGCTCTGTGTCCCGTCGGCCCGACCCTCACCTGAGCCCGGCCCGGCGGCCACGCAGGTCTGAGCGAGCCCGCTGGCCCCTGAGCCTCCTGGGCGCCCGCAGCCCCTCCTCGCCTCGGCCCGGGCCCCCTGAGCCGCAGCCCGCCAGGCGCTCGGGGCGGAGACGTCCGTTCTCCCCGCGCAGAGGTCCTGGCTGTGGCCTTGGAGCGTCCACGTAATGAGGCCACACCTTTCTGTTTCTCGTGCCTTCCGGATTCTGTGTTTCGTTTTGAAACAATGACAGTGAATTCTTACATTCTCTTTCAATATTCAAAGACTTGTTTCCACACTTCGTGCGCCGCGTGGCCCGTCACCACCACATCTGCCTCCCGTCTCCTCACAGGCCGCGTCGGGGCCGAGCGCGTCCGTCAAACAGCCTCCGGAGCGGACATTCTTCATGACCGTCCCCCGGCGGGCGTGGGTGTCCAGCGTGTCCTCGCCGCCCGCCCAGCCCCGCAGGCCCCGCGGCCCAGAGCCGCCTCCTGCTTTGCTCTTTCGAAATGAAACGGAGCAAACCGCCCGCGGCCGGCCCTCCTCGGCCGAGTCCACAAATCACACGCTTTAAAATTAATTCACCGGGTGGCACGCGCGTTCTGCTGGACTTCTTCAGAGCGAGGGTTTCCCAGATCCTGCGGGGGCATTTGCGGGGAATTTCCATATCTGAAGGACGCGAGGGGCCGGGTCTGCCTAATAGGGCCGCGAGGGAGCCGGGCGCTGGGCCAGGGCCGCCGGACGACGGAGCTGGAGGCGGAGCCGGGGGAGGCGCGTGGGGAGGGCACAGCTGGGGGCTCTGGAGCGAGGGTGTCGGAGAGGCCGGCTCGGCCACCGAGGGAGCCCGGGAGCCTCTGGGCCCATCCGCGACTGGACTGGGCCCCACTCGGGGCGGGCGCCCCTGGGGAGGAGATCAGGGGAACCTCGGGTCAGCGTTTAGGCGGCCAGGGCGGGAAGGACCCGGCGCTGGGAGGCGCCCACGCTGGCCAGGGCGGCCGGCCCGGGGAGGGGCTCCCGAGGCTGCGGGGGGCCAGCAGGGCCTGCTGGGGGGTACTCTCCTCTCCTCAGGCGACTGCTTGGAGGCTTTTAAGTTCACATTTTTCTCCTAGAATTCATTTGCGATTAAAAAATGTTTTCTATTTTAAAAAGCCTGATCAGGCCCAAAGGCAAGAGCCTGGCCCACGAGGAGCTGACAGCGTCTTCCCGCAGCAGCGCCGGCCGCCCCTCCGCGGGCTCCGGGCAGCCCCCCAGGGCTCTGCGCCTCTCGGCGGCCCCGGGCTCTGCCTGTGCTCCTGCTCCGGCTCTGGCGAGGCGCTGGCGCTGGCTGGGGTCAGGCCGCAGCAGGACGGGCTGCTCCTGCCAGAGGCAGTTGACTTCCCATCTCTCTGGGAAGAAAACCCCACGGGGTGTCACTAGGGAAGAGGCCAGTGGAGAACAGCAGAGACGCCGGGGAGAGCAGCAGGAGAGGAGGAACCCGCGGCGGGTGAGGGGGTGCACAGAGCACGCCCCAGAGGCCGGCCTGGCCCCGGCCCTGCTTGGCGGGGCTCCGAGTCCCTGAGCCCCGGGTCAGGCCCTTTCTCTCGCCACATCGGGCCAGAGGTGCGTCCAGGCGCCTGTGTCAACGGCTGTTCCTTCCTGCCCGGGCAGCGCCGCGGGGCCGCGCTCCTCGGACTCCAGGTCCACGCTCCGGAGGAAGGCCGTGGGCGGCCTGCGACGCGGCCACGTCGGCTCAGCGGGAGGGCCCCGGCTGCAGGCGTTCTGGGAAGGGGCGCTTCTACCCTATTGGCCAGGAGCTGCCGATGGTGGGCGGGCAGGCACCAAGGACACCGGCCGCTGGCGTCCCCGCTGGGCATCGGCTTTCTGCCCGCCAGCAATGCACAGGGTCCCCCCCACCTGCAGCCCAGCCAACCCTGATGTCGGGTCTAGGGGCCGCGCCCAAGTGGGCAGATCCCCCATCACTGAAGGCCGAACCCCGCCACGCGCTTCCTGATGCTCACGGGCGTGGCCCGCTGGTGGCGCCCTGCCCGGCGCTGGCCCTGCCCGGCGCTGGCCCTGCCTGGCGCTGGCCCTGCCCCGCCCCACACGCCTGCCGAGCTGACTGGCCGGGTGTCCTGTACTTCTAGAAAATGAGCTATTTGTCTTCACACAAAAATTTGTATTGTGTTGCCACATTGTGTTGTCGATATTTCCTCCCAGTCTGTGGTTTGCCTTTTCATTTTCTTAATGGTGTCTTTTGATGAGAAAAAGCTTTTAATTTTGAGGAAGCTCAGATTGTCAATTTATTTTCCTTTATGGTTATTGCTTTTCGTATCCTGCTAAGGAACCTTTGCCTGTTCCAAAATCACATTAGATTCTTTGGTTTTCGTCTAAAGGCTTTATAGTTACAGATTTCACACGTAGAACTATCATCTCAATTAATTTTTGTGAAGGGTGTGAAATTGGGGTCGGGCTTCTGTCTTCTTTTTTTCCTGCATGCTTAGGCAATTGTGAAAAGACTTTCCTTTGTGCCTGGAACTCCCTTACCAGCTCCATCACGTCAATTACTTGATTGTGCCGGCGGGCGGGGGGTGCGGCGTTCGTGACCCACCTGACGAGGCTCAGCTGCGTGGCGTGAGGAACCCACATTTCTGGCGACAACATGATATGATATGTGCAGATGTTGATCTGTGACGCTGGGCACCGCCGTCACAGGCCCTGTCATGCACCTGTCATGTTCCTTCCAAAACAGGTCAGCTGGCCTCACCCGCGCGGCCTCCCCAGCGGCCACCCTCTTGCTGACCTTGCGCCCGCGCCCGCGGCTCGGGTCCCCGGCCCCGTGACTCCGCGTAGCTGATTCTGTTCTCAGGCCTCCATCTCGGTGCTTAAAAACACCCTGTCTATTTCAGATGTGGATCTCAGAGTCCCTCACGACCACCTGGGGGGGCGGGGTGGGCTTGGAATGGCCGTGTATTTCACGTACAGGCACTTCGGGGTCTCCCTCCCTGGCTGGCCCGCGCTGCCCACGCGGCCAAGCTCTCCGTTGACTGCACTCTTCTCTGCCTCTAGAAGCCACGTTTGCATGTTCACAAGAAACAGTCACATGTCTCTAAGTTATTCTGTAGGAATTTTATTTATTTTCATAAATTAATTTTTTTATAAATCATTCTAATTGATCTCTCCAGTTGGCTTCATGTGGGTCGGGCTCCCGAGCCCATGCTGAAGTTACTCAATCCGTGGGTTCCCCGCCCCATGACAACAATGCTGGGTGCAGACAGGGAACGTTGTCTTTGCAAATATTTATGCCATTTACGTTTTTTTTTTGTCCAAAATATATGGATTTCTTGGGTTGTTGGAAAATGCACGATGTATCTCTTCTGTTTTTCAAGCAAAAATGCATCGTGACTTTTCCAGCAACCTAACAGCTTGCAGTTTTTTTTTTTTTTAAGAGGCATGTATTTTATTCATTTATTTATTTATTTATTTTTGTTTGTTTGTTTGTTTATACAAGCACGGGAGGGTGAGAGAATTCACCAGAGCCAGAGCGGGGAGCAGAGCAGGCAGAAGGACCGAAGGACACTGCTGAGGGGAGCAGCGGGCGGCAGGAGGGGTCTGCGCGCCATGTGGGACCCTCCTCCGGTGGCCGGGGAGCAGCCGGGGATCGAACCGGCGCCGCAGAGGCTGCGGGCAGCTTCGCAACCCAGCGCTCAACCGCTGCGCCACCGGGGAGGTCCACAGCTTGCAGTTTGCTGATGTATTTACCACGGAGGTAGCGGTGGGCTACAACACTGATGATGACGGACATTTTCTTGTCCCCAGCCCCCCGTGAGGCTCCCCGCAAGTATTAGATAGAGGGAGGCCAGCGGGACACCTGACTTCGGAGCCGGCGTTTTCCCGCTCTCCAGCGCGAGCTGTGTGTTTCTCGGGTGTGCCCCGCTTGTGAGTGGGATGCAGCACACCGGTGAGCGTTTGAAAGCTCCGTAAACATCGCATTCCCGGGCCAAGTCCCCACGAGTCACAGCAGATCCTATTTTTATACAGGGCTGGTTCTGTGTCCAGGTCTCGTGTTCCGGATTGTTACGTGTGCACGAGAGGCTCTGGCACGTGATTCTCTCCCCTTCTACGTCCCTGTGGGTGTTAATATGAGGGAAAGAACTGGCATCATGCAGTAGCTTAGCACACACTCCCTCTGCCTCTGAATTTTGAAATTACATGTGTGAGATCACTGATACTTCTGCTTTGGGGTTTAATGTTAAATTCATCATTTCAGCTGCCAGGGCGTGGAGCTTTTGTGATAAAAGGTATTTCGTCACAAATTCAATGTGACAGATACAGGCCGTCCCGGTTTCCTGTTTCTTCTTGTCTTGATATGTTGTTTCTTCGAGAAATGTGTCCATTATATTGAATTTGTGAAAACTATCAACATAAAGCAGTTCGCGACAGCCCTTACTGCCCAGCAAACGCCGCAGGCCCTTCGGCGCTGGCTTCTCTTTCACGAGCATTTGGCCACGTGCCGCTTGCCCTGCCCCTCCTCGCGTGTGTGTTCTCCTCTGTCTTGCTGAGATTTTACAATTTTATTAACCTTTTTAGAGAACTTTCCTTCACTTTGTTAATTTCTTAATTGCAGATTTTCCGTTTCATTTAATTCTGCTCTAACCTGTACTTTTTTAATATACTACTCTTTTTGAGGTTAATTTGGTCTTATTTTTCTAGCTTTTTAAGGTAGATAATTAACCTTCATTTTCCCTCCTTATTCTGTCATGAAAATTACAAATTTACTTTCAAGCACGGACATTTCTCTCTACACGTTGTTTTCGCTTCAGCCCATAAATTTTGATATGTTGTACTTTCATTTTCACTCATTTCCAAATACTTTCTAATCGTCACTGTGGTTTTTTTCTTTGACTTCTGATGAGTGTGTGTCTCAGGTGCCAACTATTTGTACATTTCATGGTTATTAACTTCTAAATTAGTTGTACTGTCGTGGTCAGGTCGGGTGTCATGGTCATGGTGGCATCCTAAACTATCGGTAAAATATTCCCTTCTCCTCTATTTAATTCATTGTAGCCAAAAACTACGCTATTTGTTATTTCAAGCCTACAGAATTTACTGAGGCCTGTGCCTCAGCATATGGTCATTCTATCATGACGCTCTTTCTGTGCAGCAGGAGGAATGTGTATCCTGCAAACGCCAGTTAGATCAAGTTTACCAATAGAGTTATTTTTTTAATCTTCGTATCCCTCGTTATTTCGTGTCTTTTTTTATTCGTCATCCTGAATTATGTGAGTTATGATTGTTGATATACTCATTTCTCCCCTAAGCTTTACCTGCTTCATGTTAATTCATAAGCAACATCATCCCACGTGTATAAAACACTAAATCATCAAAAACCCAACAGAACAAATAAATAAATTCAGCAAGGTCACGGTACGCGACTACCGTATACAAAAACGCATTATTTCGGCTTACTGATAATGAGCTAACTGAAAATGAAATCAAGAGAGTTGTTCTGTTCAAAGTAGCAACAAGGGGCCTCCCCGGTGGCGCAGCGGTTGAGCGCTGGGTTGCGAAGCTGCCCGCAGCCTCTGCGGCGCCGGTTCGATCCCCGGCTGCTCCCCGGCCACCGGAGGAGGGTCCCACATGGCGCGCAGACCTCTCCTGCCGCCCGCTGCTCCCCTCGGCAGTGTCCTTCGGTCCCTCTGCCTGCTCTGCTCCCCGCTCTGGCTCTGGTGAATCCTCGCACCCTCCCGCCTTCTGACTGTACCCAGTGCTTGTGTAAATAAATAAATAAATCTTTTAAAAAAATAGCATCAAAAAAGAATTAACAGAAAACTATTGTATTTATACCCTCAAAACGATTAAGCCACTAAGAAAAATTAAAGAGCTAAATAAATAAAGACATTCACATTGATGAATTGGAAGACTGAGTATTGTTCATGTTTCAATTCCTCTCCAAATTGATTTACAGGTGCGGTGCGGTCTCCAGTAGAACACAGCCAGGCTTCTCACTGTGATGTGCTCGTCTTAAAATGCGTATGCGAAGCAAGTGTCTTCCATAGTAAAGGTAATTTTGAAAAAGGAGATTAAAGTCAGAATTTGAAAACTTACTCTGAAGCTGCAGTAATCAAGAACCTTGTCATAAAGACAAACACATAGAACAACGGAAGAAAACAAAGTCCAGATATAAAACTTAATATTTGTGGTCAATTGATTTTTAGCGCAGGTGTCAAGACATTTAACGAGCAAATAATAGTTTTTTCAAAAGATGGTGCTGGAACAACTGGATCCATATGTGGAGGAGGAAGAAATAAAAGGAAAAAAGAGAGAGAGGATGGAGAAGAGAACTTAGGCCTCTGCTTTACACCATATGAAAAATTAACACAAAATACAGCCGCACCTGAGTGCCGTCTTTACAATTTTGAAACTTCTAGGAGAAAACCTTTGTCATCTTTGGTGAGAAACACATTTCTTAAGTATGACACCAAATCATGATACATAAAAAAGAATTTGCTACATTGGACTCCATCAAAAGTAAAAAAGGTTGGTGCTTCAGAAGAAACTATACGAAAATTTAAAAAACAAACGTTGCTCTGGGCCCAGCCAGAACACCCGGGGCCCGGCCCACTGCCCAGGCACTGCAGCGGCTGGACACCCCCCGCCGGGGAAACGCAAAATAGAATTTAGGAGGTTTATCAGCAGCAAAGTAGCCACATCAGACACAAAGGAAACAGAGGCTGCCACAGGCCGGAGGGCGCACACTGGAGGGGGCAGCCGGCACCTGCAACGCGTGGTGGCCCCGCACCGAGCGGGTGGCCCCGCAGCAGCG